GATATACATATATATGATAAACGTATACATATAATATACATAACATATGTATCATATGTATCATATATCAGAAACCAATTCTGACTGTAAAGAACGAGTGGTGTCATTGAGTTTCCTTTGGCGTGACGTACCCCGGGTGGCGTCTGGATGGATGTTCTCATGTGTTTATACATGTGTCAGGCCGGGCATGCCGCACCCACGAGCCAGCATACGCGTGGGATATTGTTAAAACATGCAGTGCTGTTTGCTGTGGTGTTCTTTTTTTGGCAAACGAGGGGTAGAAAGAAGACTGTAGGTTTATCCTACGTGTGCTGCTTTGAGTTATTGTTTTTTAGGCAAACTGGCTTAAATCTGTCAGTCTGATTTTTAGTGTACATACTAGGTCTAGCTTTTAATCAAGGATAATCGGAATTGGAGGGGGACGGGGAGGAGGTTTGGGGAAGAGTCGTGGTGGGGGGGTGGGGGGTTGAGCCGAGACACACAGGAACGGGAGTTCGAGTCTCATTGCTTCATTGTAGAGGTGGAATATCCCTGTGTATACTTACCCACATTGTCATGTCAGTCAATGATTGTCTGTTACTGATAAGATTATTGTAAATGACACTTTAAAGAAGAAAAACAACAGCAACAACAACAAAAGTTGTCTTTAAAAAGCAATGCATCCCCTGCAAATCCGACTTTATCCGACTTGTGCACTCTGCTCTCTGGCTGGGTAGAACGTGTTAAACAGCCAAAGAGTCAAGAAAAAGGTATTATAAGGAGAAGAAAATGTCTGACCTAGACTGGAGACAAGGAAGTTGTCTGGCAGTTTCTTGACTCCCCCGATTGGCAGCTGGGTTCTCTTTCTGCACAACGGGCAAGTGAACTCTCTGTAGTCGGAGTACTGGAAAGGCAAAAAGAAGGGGTGATGAAATCGACCATAACAATGCGGCAAAAACAGCAACACCAGAAATGAATGTAGGAAACATCTTTAGAAAAGGGTGATTATTATAATAACAAAGATGAATATAACCACATTGGCAGAGAAGCACCCACCGATCTGCACAGACGCACAGTTACTGCTGTATATAATCATAATCTATAATATTGTGTATTATATACATTTCATATACACTTTTATCTACAGTCCCCAGCCCTCTCCCACCAGTCTCCACTTCCTAGTTGTTCCTAAAAGTGGGTAACGTACGCATACAGATAAAAGCAAAATTAATACAGTGTATACAAATGCAAATATAGAAAATTGGATTTTAAAAAAACATACAGGTGCGTACGTGTACACAAAGACATCAAAACATAAATGTCAAGTACCATTTATTGCTAATTTACGCGTACGCTCACAAACACAAAATCACACACAACAGAAACAAATAAGGTCATACATAAAACGCTATTTAAAAATGACTCGATGATTTTTATTAACCCATCCCACCCCAACAAATCGACTGAGTTTGGAGCTTTTAGGAGGCGGGTTTCAACCCTGCTTGTCAGGGTCTAACCGGTTTGAGAGGAATACACAACCCAGCAGAAAGACCTTGACACTCGATAACATTTTCCCTCACTTGGGAATCGAAGTAGGGTCTTCTGTGCCTAATAGCAATACCACAAACACCGATGTAAAACGAAATGACGGACACACGTGCGCACAAATACACACATGGTGCACCCATGCTGTCATCTGTTTAAGTCTTCTACAATAAGATCTGCTACTCGCACCCAACATCTTCCGATACCCCATTTTGAGATCACGTCGATTGACGTCATCATTCCATGTGTACATTTAACAGGAGCTATGATCTATAAAATGTCTTGCAAGCAGGGAGCAGGGGAATTTTTTAATTTTTTCTTCGGTCGGAGGGTTTTCAACTATTTCTCATGGTTTTCAGATAGACTAACAGAGTTACAATCAGAACACTGAGTATGTATCTAGTTTAACATTATAATAGATTACATTACAGTTCATTTATATTATTCATGGGACTGTAAGTCTGCGTGTATGTGCATGTTTGTTCGTGTGTGTGTGTGTGTGTGTGTGTGTGTGTGTGTTTGTGTGTGTGTGTACCGTGTATGTGTGCGTTTGTATGTGTGTGTGCGTGAGTGTGTATGTATGTGTGTACATGGTGAAATACTAAACCAATGTGCGAGGGTCTGGAGTATAAAGATGTATCTTAGCTTATCTTATCTTAACTCATCCAATTTAATCTTATCTTATCTTTTCTTTATCTAACAGGCGTTTTAAACTTGACACTGACGTCGCGTTTTCATAGTTGCTAGCCTTTTTCTTTCCTGTGCAGAGACCGACTTTTTTTTTCTTGCCTTTTGTCAACTCAGCCCAGTGGTTTCAATGTTTAAACTATATAAACACACACAGAGACTACATACACGTACATAACACACACACACACACACACACACACACACACACACACACAGG